AATTTAAAATTTTAGTATAATGGACAATTATAATTATGAAAAACTTTGAACTTTTTTAATATTAGATTTTACCTATGATGTGGGAGGAAACGAGTCATTGATCAAAGCAGAAAAGAAACCTTTTTCAGATACAGAAAAGACTGAGCTCAGGGGTAAACACAGCCAGGATTTTATTAAGCGAAACATTGAGGTATGTATTTAGAAATTTAGAAATCAGAATGTGGGATTAAATGAGTTATGAAAATGAAAATAGTTGTGTTCACGGTCTTTAAACATTTTTTTGATCATGATTCATGTATATGTAATTGAAATAGTATATATAACTGAAAGAAAAGTTTTATGGACCAGTACCTAACTTCACTATTTTTTATTCCATCCTATCTTATTCTACCCCTTTTAAAAAAACTAGCTGCAATTCAGTATGTTTATTTCACTACCCAGAAATGAATCTGGTTCCTGCAGTTTGAAACACATTTATTTAGATAATAGCTTCAGACAGTGTTTCCCAGATTTTAAATTGCATATTAGTAAAATTGGCTTTTTAAAGTCATGAGACTGAGTTTATAGATGGTGCATTTAGAAATTTGCATGGAATATTCTCCTGGCAGAGCTGGAGAGGCCAACGGGTTGTCTGCCCCTTGCCCCCTCCAGCTGAGCCTCCAGGAAGCCTATCACTTGTCACTTGCCTTGATTAGCTCCCTGCTTCAGGGGCTCAACCTTGGTCTTTCAGACCCTACAGCCTGACTTGGTATGTCCTCAAGGCAGACTAACCCAGGGCAAAGGGGCTCCTCTATTAGACCAGAATGCTGATTAACTAATTTACAACAAGAAATGTAGGTGCAGTGGACAGAAGGCTTGTGACAAACCACCTGGGCAGTTACTAGATGAGTTACTAGGTGAGTGTGAAGTTATTCACAAGAGGAGAGGGTTATATAATTCCTCCCAGTTCAAGCCTGATTCTCCTTCCACAGTTGGCACGTCATTTCCAGGCAGATTGGATTCATGGATCAACGTGCTGCTGCCAGAACTGGCCTCCGGGACTCTCACTTTCTCTCTTCATGTTTCTCTGATCTGAAGGAAACCCTCTCCAACTTGATCTGTCTCTTTGCACTGGCCCATGTTGATTTATTTCATTTTTCCAAGAGCGATAGCGTTTTTCTCATAGCCAGGTTCTTGTTGACACAGACAGCTGCCCCACCATGACTCTCCCTCTTCCCCTTTTAACAATAGTAGCTGACTCTTTATTCAAAGTCCTGCTATGACAGTCTTGAAATTTAAAAGCAAGTTCATTTAGGAGAGAGTGGGACGTCTGGCTTGCAAGCGGGCACCTTCATTTTGGGTGCGATGGGAGAGCGATTTTGAAATGGGTGATGTTGAGAAGGACAAGAAGAGTTTTGTTCCAAAGCGTGCCTAGTGCCATATGGTGGGAAAGGGAGAGAAGCACGAGACTGGGCCAAATCTCCATGGTCTGTTTGGGTGAAACACAGGGCAGGCCCCTGGATTTTCTTACCTGGATGCCAACAAGAACAAAGGCAGCACTTGGGGAGAGGAGACACCGATGGAGTATTTGGAGAATCTCAAGAAGCACATCCCTGGAACAAAACCGATCTTCACTGGCATTAGGAGGACAGGGGAAAACGGGCAGACTCGGTAGCTTCTAAGGCACATCAGTTGGCCACTGCCTTGCAAAACAAGAATGTCTCATGACTTCTTCTCTGTGTACCGTATTTAGAATGATCTCATACACCAGAACTCAGATCATGAATGGCTGATGGGATATTTCTTTTGGACAGTCCCGACTGAAATAAGATTGGCTTGTGGTTAAATGCATATGATCAGCTTTTTGAACTTTGATAGTAATTCTGGTTCAGCCAGTGCTGTCACTGTTTTCCCCTTCTAGAAAGATGATTGGAATCGACTGGTAATGTTCAACTTTTCACAGAGATGGTAAATGCCATCCCTAAACCTGGAGGAGATGGGTTTTCTATTGAGATTTATATAACTGTTAGGTTTATTTAAATACTGAGGAAATCCCTTCACTATCTCACAGAACAGCAAGACTCCGCTGTGTTTCACATCATGTTCATTAGCTTGTTAAAGGCAAGGACTGAAGATAAGCTGGCAATGTCCACTTTCTCTTTTTGGTCTTTTTTTTTTTTTTTTAAAGATTTTATTTATTTGACAGAGAGAGACAGCAAGAGCAGGAACACAAGCAGGGGGAGCGGAAGAGGGAGAAGCAGGCT